CAAAACTTACAGAGGACTTGAGCAATTTATTTATTTTTGTATACTGGGGATTGAACCCAGATGTGTGTTACCTCAGAGCCACAACCCCAGCCTTCATTTGATAATTTATTTAGTCTCTGGGAATACAGGCTTGCACCGCTCACTGCACCCAGGTTGAGATCATTGTGCCAGTAAAGAGCTGAGCAGATTTCCTGGAGTGGAATGGAGTAAGTACTAACAAGGAGCAACCACATAAAGGTGGACACTCATGCTCATTACTGAGAAAAATATTTCACCGTTTTGGGTTTTTTGTTAGCCGCAGCCAGACAACTACTCCTCCTTGGCTTATACTATACATGATCTGTATAGTCAAAAGAAAAACCTAATTTCTTGCCTTGTGTGTTTATCCTGCCCTCTCACTGGGATTACAGGCACACACCACTGCCTAGCCAGAAAAATCTCTCTATAACTTCAGTTTGTTAGTCCTGTTTTGTATCTACTTGTCCCAGTCTATCAGTCTATGCTGCTTCTCTGCTTCACCAGAATTAATATTTTTTCATACCAAGCATTCCCTTAAAGAAGTCTGTATTCTGTTAGCTCATTGTCACAAGTAGTTTCATGACCCTTCCATGCACATTCTGATCCTTGTGTTCTGCCAGGGCTTTACTCCCACTCTCCCCACTTTGCTGAGGATTGAATTCAGGGCTTCACATGTTAATCAAGCACTCTACCTCCAAGCTACTCCCCCAGGCTTGGACTTTATTCTTTAATTCTGTTTGTGGTACTGAAGATGGAATCCAGGGCCTCAAGCTCTGATGCTAGTTAGGCAAGTGTTCTACCACTGAGTTACATCCCCCGCCCTGGGCTTTGTTCGAATGTTGTCCTACAGGGACTTAATAACCTGCCAATCTGCTGTATTTTTTGGTTCCCATTAACTAAGCTGCTCCAGTTACTCATTTTAACTCAGGCATCATACCAACTCCTAATTTCAGTGAATGTTCAAAACTAGCTGTAAGCCTTTCTGGTGTCTCCTTGCTCCTGAATGGAAGCATAGTGGCCAAATTCGTTTGTTGAATCCTAATGATCTGCCATCCAAAAGTCTATTTAACTTGTTCCCTTTGATTAATTCCCCAGCTCTGGCACTAATTCGGGCAAGTTCTTAACCCAGCTTCCTTTCTCATCTGAGAAAGAAGGAAATATAATATCCACCTCAGAAGTATTATTTATGTTAAATAATGTATATAAAGTGTTATCACAGGGCCTAGTACTTGGAAAATATTATCTGTTTATTATTTTTAAATAATATACATATAAACAATTTTCATCACGTTTCAGCAATTCAACATGCTTTTTATCAACAACTCTATGCTGCCCCCATGGGGATGACTTGATCCAAGACAGTGATTATTTTAAAAGTCGTTATAAAAACAGCCCTGTCTCATCAATTTCACCAGCTAATTAGAATTTAATTTTCCTTTGATTGGTTGTTCAATTAAGTAAAAATTACCTTATATTCTAATTCTTTCTTTTCCACCTTTCTTAAATAACATCAGAAAAACTGGCAGAGTTTTCTGAAAGCAAGGTATACTGCCTCTATGATGTTCTCATCTGCTAATCTAGTTACATTGGCAAGAAAGGAAAATTAACTGGGTGTGGTGGCACACACCTGTAATACCAGCAACTAGAGAGGCCAAGGCAGGAGGATCCCAAATTCCATGTCAGCCTCAGCAACCCAGATCCTGTTTCAGAATCTCAAAATAAACATGAAAAAGAGCTGGGGGTGTAGCTCCATGGTAGAGTATCCCTGGGCTCAATCCCCATTACTGCCAAGGAAGGGGGGGGAGTCATTTATTTAGTCAATATATGTTAAGCATTTATTGTGATACTCATATAGCATAAGAAAATCAGTGGTAAACAAAACAGATAAGGTCTGTTTTTGTGGTGCTCACCATCTACATGGGTGTACAAATGTTAGAGTCTGTAAACAAGTCTGGATGGCGCCTGGCAAAATGCCAGAGGGAGTGGTTTGTGAAGTAACGCCAGCGAGCCATTAAGTGTGGAGATTCCTTATTGGTTGACTGATGTATCTAGTTTATGTTAATTAGATAAGCTGTGTGGAATGCATAAATACCCCTCCTGTCCTACAATAAACGGCTCCTACTCCTGCTGTATCAACATACACAAGTTATTCGTCACCCCCCGGTTATTTTGCCCAGCAGCCGGACTGCGGCATACAAATATAAAATTCTAAATTGAGATAGGTGCTATGAAGGAAAAGAATAGAATGTTGTGACAGAAAAATTAATAATCAGTGGAAGTTTCTCTTTAAGGAGGTGCAGTCTGAAAGACAAGAGGCCAACCACCTTGAGCCACAGGAGTGTTGTATGCTGAGCAAAGGATACCTGCAAAAGGTTTGAAGGAAAGGTAGAGCTGACAATTTGGGGGACTAAGTCATATGGTAATGAACCATTTTTGAGGGATTCTGGAGATCATTGATTTTTAATCTTACTGCTAATAAATCACTGTGTGTGTGTTTCTGGGGTTTTAACCCCAGGGGCCTTCTACCACTGAACCACATTCCCAGACCATTTTTTGTTTCTTATTCTGAGGCAAGGTCTCACTAAATTGTTCGTGCTGGCCTAAAACGTGAGATCTTGAGATCAGCCTCCCAAGTAGCTGGGATTACAGGTATATGCCATCGCACCCAACTCATAAATCACTATTTATTTTTTTTTTTTTGGTGCTGGGGATCGAACCCTGGCCTTGTGCATGTGAGGCAAACACTCTACCAACTGAGCTATATTCCCAGACCCCACAAATCACTCTTTAATAACCATTAAAACTTTACTAAGAATCAATAATCTTAGTTTTTTGACTTTCATAATCCCCATCTAGAATTTTTCTCTGTGAAAATGTAGATGTTTGCAGCATTGTTTCTCCACTTATCTAAAGGGATACTGATTTCATTTCATTTACGTAATATTGCCGATTTCTGAAATACTATGTGTCCAAGCTCAGTACTCTAAATTCATTTAAAATGCCAAGAATTTTGTCATTGCCGTTCAGAGAGGTGGCACATACCTGTTATCCTAGTGATTTGGGAGGCTGAGGCAGGAAAACTGCAAATCAGGGCCAGCCTCAGCAACTTAGACCTGTGTCAAAAAAAGAAACAAAACAACAACAAAAAACTGGGTTTGTAGCTCAGTATAATCACCCCTTGGCTTCAATCCCCAGTACCTTAAAAAAAAAAAAAAAAAGTCCAGCTACTCAATAGACTGAAGCAGGAGACTCATGTTTTAGACTAGCCTGGCAACTTAGACAAGGGCTGGGGATGTAGCTCAGGGTAGAGTGATAAACCCAGCGTAATTCCACTTTAAGATTGGGAGCCATCTCATCATAAAGTCACAAAAAGTTAATTTCTGTTTTACTATAAATTACTGCGATTTCTAACTTGCTTGGAATGCCTGCCTGTGCCTTGAACTCAACCATGCCTGGCTTTTCCTGACCAGATAACAGCCCTCTCTGAAACCTTAGCAGCGCCTCATAAATTCTGGTATTGGGATCTAAATTTACTCCCTAACTTGAAATGTTGAACCATTTAGATCATTAACCTACTATCTGCGTGTCAAAATCCTGTTATCTGTAAGTCTCAATACACCCCCCCCCTTTTGAAACTTTTTGTGCTATAAAACCACGCTCCTAGAGAGCTGAGGTACTGTCCTCTAACCCACGGATTTCTGACAAGACAGTCCTGGCTGGCCAGAATTACAAGCTTGCTTTAATTTGATTTAAAATTGGAATAGGTGGTCTTTACTTTGAGTCGTGGTTTAACAAAGAGCATCCCTGGGTTCAAACCCCAGTGCTAAGCGGGGGGGGGGGGGGGGGGGGGAGTGGGAAAAGGAAAGAAACTGATAGACAAAAAAGAAAATAGGGGTGGAAAACTGTCATTTCAAGGAACACAGAAAAGCATTTGGGAAAAAAACAACATCCATTTGTGACTTTCAAAACAAAACAAAACTCTAAACACTAGAAATACAAGGGAACTTTCTCAACATGATTAAAGATATCTATGAAAAAACTTGCAGCTAATGTCATACTGGAAAGATTGAGTTTCTCCCTAACATAAGGACAGACAAAGATGTCTACTCTCAACATTTGTGTGCACTATTGTACTGAAAGTTTCAGCCAGGGCAATTAGACAAGATACAAAATGCTCATCACATTAATAGATGGACTATAGAATTTGATGAATTATAGAATTGGATCTAGAATTACTACCACAGGTTGGACTGATTCACTTAAGATATTTAAAGCCAAAATTAATGTGTTTAAATTTTAAGACTAACTGAAGATAAAAAAATTTTGCAAAGGATGACTGAGATCTTATTGTGTGCCTCACATTGGGTATAGAGAGACATTCTTTACTGGTTAATTACCAAAAATGTCTAGTGCTCAACCAGTGGATACCTGTTCTAGGATAGACTAAGGCAAGTCTTCTGGTAACTTCTAAAGTCCTTTTAACTTACTAATAATTCTCTAATTCGATTATATTAATCCTTCAGGGCAGGGACTGTATATTATACATTGATTTTGCATGGTTTCTTTTAATTATGAGTTCAACACACTTATATTGGATAACTGCTTTGGCCTCTGGTACTCAGCTGGACAATATGTAAGGTAATGAAGCTCTGAAGCAGAATTGCATGTTTTAGGAAGGCAGTTCCTACAACGGTGCCTAGAAGAGCCTGAAGTTGGAAAAACGCTCCAGGTTTGGGAAGGCCTCCGGGATCGTTTTTCTTGATTGCTTCTTCTGAGCATGAACGGAAGTCCCTCTCCGAGCTGTCTCTGGTGATTTAGTGATAGGTGACATATTCAGGAAAGAGCAATCCGTTTCTATTTCGTTCTTCCTGACGCATCACAAGCGGGTAATCAGATAGCAAATTTTTCTTCCTTACAAGAAAAAAAAGACTGCATTCAGAAAAGTCTAAGGCAACCCTACTCCTCCTCTTCCCATAGTAAAGATGGCGGCGCCTGAGCGTAAGTTACAGACAACACCACTTCCGCATTACTCTTGCGCCCTGATCCAAGATGGCGGACGAGGCCACACGGCGTGTTGTGTCTGAGATTCCAGTGCTGAAAACTAATGCCGGACCCCGAGATCGGGAGTTGTGGGTGCAGCGACTAAAGGAGGAATACCAGTCTCTTATCCGGGTCAGTTGTGCTTTATGATCGACCGCGTAGCAAAGGGCTTGCAGGTAATCAGGTGTTCTCAGAAATAGGCTCCGTGTGGAAGCCGCTTCCGGTTTTTAATTTTAACTTCTAAATTCAGAGAAATGGGACGGTTTGCTGGGCTGGGTGGTTTAGGAAGGATGACGGGAAGTAAGCTGGAAAGAAAGACTCAGATTAGTAAAAGTGGGACTATATCTTATAGCTAAAGACAGCAGTATTTTAAGCTTACACCTACCCGGAAGGTGACGTGTCTCTCCTGCTCCAGGTGTTTGTCCTAGGGGATGTAAAAGTGGTGGTCAGAAGTATTTGTTGGGCCCTTAAATCCCAACGCAACTCTCTGCTCCCTCTTTCATTCTCGTAACGAAGAAAAACACGTTAAGACTGAAAATTCAAGTAGGTGTTAGTTGTAGAGAGTTGGATAGAATGTCTCTCTATACCCAATGTGAGGCACACAATAGTTGGATAACTATTTTAGAAATAGTTAGAAATGAGCCATCTTCTCAGCTAATCTTCCTATTATGGAAAGGGAAGAAAATCTTTCATAGTGTTCTCAGCAGATATCCTACTCATGTATTCATTCAGTGTGTGTGTGTGTGTGTGTGTGTGTGTGTGTAAAATCTCAATATCATTATTGTCCTTTGGGTCTAAAAAGGGGAAACAAAACCGAGTAAGGAGGAGCCCACTGTGGTAGACAGAAACAATATCATACAGTGTTTAAATAGAAAGAAATGGCCAGGATGGTCTGAGAGCATGAGAAGCAATATCTAATCGAGCTTGAGTTTGGTCAAGGAAGGCTTCCTGAGAACAGTAATGTTTGGGCTGAGATTTAAAGGAAAATATAAGTAAGGCTAATAGAACATAAGGGTCGGAGAAGGATGCTTAAAACATGAGAACATCATAAGCAAAGGAATATAAGCTCTATGTGGCATGATGTTTATAAAGAAACAAATAGTTCAGAGTTGCTAGAGATTCAGATAGAAGCAGGAAGTAAACAAGGCTGGAGAGATAGATTTGAGCACTTGAATTTTATTTTGTGGTACTAGGGATTGAACCCTAGGGCACTCTACCACTGAGTGACATCCTCAGCCATCGCTCCCCCCTTTATTTTTTTATTTATTTTTAATCTTTTTTGTGGTGCTGGGGATTGAACCCAGGGCCTTGTGCATGTGAGGCAAGCACTCTACTGACTGAGCTATATCCCCAGCCCCCTTTTTATTTTTTATTTTGGGACAAGATCTCTGTAAGTTGCACAGGCTGGCCTACAACTTGCCTTCCTCCTGCCTTTGTCTCCCCAAATAGCTGGGATTATAAGTGTGTGCCACCCATCACTCTAGTTTGAATTTTATTTGGAGGTGTTGGGATGCCTTTAAAGGATTTTAAGCTGATGAGTAACATGACCAGATTTGGGTGTAGGTCAGTGACACAGAGAAAAATACAACTGACCAGGGGTAAGGTTAAAGGTAGAAGAAAAGTTAGGAGGTTGTCATTAATCCAAGTGAAAGAAAGATGACGATCTAAATGAGGCAGTGTGGTCATAATAGAAAGGAGAGGTAGATTTGAAGAATATCTAGCCAGGCATGTGTGCCACACACGCCTATCATTCCAACTACACAGGAGGCTAAGCCAGGAGGGTCACAAGTTCGGGACCAGCTTCAGCAATTTAGTGAGGCAATAAGCAATTTAGTGAGATCCTGTCTCAAAAATAAAAAGGACTGGGGACATAGCTTAGTAGTAAAGTGGCTCTGAGTTAAATCCCCAGTATCAAAAAAGTCAAGGATAATTCCCAGATTTTTGGCTTCAGTGACTAAGTGAATGCTAACACCTCAACCTGAGATTGAGAATGCAGGATGAGAAACAGGTCTGAAGAAATACTGTAAATACCAGGTGGAAGTGCCAGGTTTCAGGTATATTCAAATTAAAGGTCGAAATTTGAAGATACAGTTGTATACTTAAGTCCAAATTTCTGAGGAAAGATCTGGACTAAAAATAAAAGATCTGGTAGTTATCAGCATGTGGGTGCTAGTGGAATCCAGGACTGCTTAAGGCCCTCCAGGAAGGGAGTATACCATAAGGTGAGTTGTGGGCTGAGGGCAGATACTATCAGAAATAAGAAAAGAATCCAGATGATATCTTTACATCTTTTGTGCCTGTTAAATTGAATGGAACCCAAGTCTTCTATTCTTTGCTCTGGGCAAGTCCCCAACTTACCAGGGTAGCCTTGTCTTTAGTTTTACTTACATCATAAAAATTTGGTAAACGTACTGAGAGAGAAGTAATCATAGTTTTCTTTTGTGGGGAGAGGGAATGCCCGTGGCTCCAATTTTCCCCTCAAAGATTTCATTCTCTGCTTTTAGTATGTGGAGAACAACAAGAATGCAGACAATGATTGGTTCCGTCTGGAGTCCAACAAGGAAGGTACCCGGTAGGTATACCCTCTTGGGAGGTGGGGGATGGGAGTCTTACCTGGCTTTTGCAGTTTGGTATACCAAAATCCACTGCTGGAACTGCCTTGTGTCAGGTTAGCTATCTGCAATTCTATAGCCCCAGATTTCCCCAACTCCTGTCTGCATGAGTCTCCCAGGTTAGCCCTAAGCCAAGATGTCATTTGAGTAAGAGAGGGATGGGCAAATTTAACTGAGGTTTGGTCTTTATTACAGGTGGTTTGGAAAATGCTGGTACATCCATGACCTCCTCAAATATGAGTTTGACATCGAATTTGATGTAAGTGTGATGAAGTGGGAAATATGAAGATTAGTAGAAGGGGAGAGATCAGAAGACTATTAACAAGCTAACCTTTCTTGAAGAAACCAAAGAAAACTTTACAAATGGGAGGGGAAAGTTGAGGTTTGAAGCAAGCATTAGTTATAGCTTTTAATCTCCATATCAGGAATCCTGGCATGTCGAAGCTGCTGGGGAATTTTGCTGAACATTTCAATTCAACCAAGAAATGTGTGGGAAGATTAAAGAGAGAGAGAAAGAAAGAAAAGAAATATGTGTGTTTGATTAGAGTAGTTTCTATCTAGCCTAATTCTGTTTTATTAAGGTTCTATAATTCCTCCAGATTCCTATCACGTATCCCACTACTGCTCCAGAAATTGCAGTCCCTGAGCTGGATGGAAAAACAGCCAAGATGTACAGGTAGGACTGAAAATGAGATGGAGAAGGGCTTAGGGAAGAACTCTCAAGGCAGAAAATTTTCTGAGTCTACTCGCTTAGAAGGATTTAAGCCTGGGCAAAGTACTTAGGTGACTTTGTTCTTAGTTCTGAGCACTGGTAGTCTTCTTGTGTTCCCAGAGGCTGCTGTGCATTTTGGTGAATTTTGCATATCAATCTCTTTCTCTCATACCTCTCACAGGGGTGGCAAAATATGCCTGACTGATCACTTCAAACCCTTGTGGGCCAGGAATGTGCCCAAGTTTGGACTAGCTCATCTCATGGCCCTGGGGGTAAGTCTGGTATACTTGGTATAGGAAGGGGAGGTGTTGGGGTTAGGCCCTGGAAAAGTAACTGAGAGTAAACAAGGTAATAGTAATATCTCTTGGGCATGTTCCCCCAGAATCTCTCTCCAGGAAGGAGCTTCTGATGGAACAAGAGGCATTAACTGGGTGGTAGTAATCTCACAGGGTCTCCCTTGTATTGCAGCTGGGTCCATGGCTGGCAGTGGAAATTCCTGATCTGATTCAGAAGGGTGTGATCCAGCACAAAGAGAAATGCAACCAGTGAAGGATCCAGCCACTGAGGCAGGACAGTGGCTACGTTCCTTTCTTGTGCATCACACTTCTTACTCATCTGATCACTTCCCCCTATCGCTCTTCCACCTTTGGTTGTTTCTAAGTTACTGCAGCAGGCATTATTGATGAAAACAACACACACACAGTATTGTCACTGAATTTTTAAGTTAGGCTGCACAGTGAGGGGAAAGACTTGCTTTAGAAAATGAAGAGGCAATTTATATTCCCTTTCCAGGTAGAGCAATGGAGGCCTCAATCCTGGTGGCATAGGGAGTAGCTGAAAATGAGTACATAGTCTTTTTGATTTCTGTTGACAACCCATGAATAAAGCTGCTTCCCATGGTAACCTGTCGTTTTCGTTGGTGGCTTTTAACAGAAGGTGAGCAGCTAAAACCAGAGGCATATTGAACAGACACAGTAGGTTGGGAGGAAGTGGGGAATGGAGTATGCTTTGGTCAGGAGCTGGGGAATTAAAGAAAATCTGACTGCTCTCCTTGCTGCTGAGATCTGCTTTGTCCTTTAGCAGCATGCCATGCTTTTCCTTACTGCTTACGCCTGCAAGAAGGTTGAAGAATGGTTTTGCAGATCCAGCATTCCCTGCCCTCTAGGGATCTTCCTATCCCTTTGTGGAGTACTAGATGCTTCTCTGTTGGTCGTCTGCTGTCTGGACCCAGGCCTGCATCTTGTCACTCTAGCACCCGCCCTGATCTGTGTTACAAGCTTCGCGGCCATTCTTGAATTTTCACAGGACGGGATGAAAGAAGCCTGGACCTCGGAACTTGCTTTGGAGCGATGGTTTAAAGACCACTCAGGGCAGGGCTGGGAACTAGCGGTTCTAAAGTTGGCAGCGTTTCCATGGTGTCGGCCCAGGAGCCGTGGGGGCGGGCTCACGCAAACGCAGAGGGGGAGGCAGGATTTAGAGTGTGGGTGCGCAGGCGCCTTGAGAGACTGTGAAGCTGGTGGCCGGTGGCCGGGTGGGACCAACAAAGATGGCGGCGGCCCTTGCGGCGGGAGAGCTCTGGGCAACAGCTGCGGCTAAAGCTGCAGCCCGGCCGGCGGGGGGGCTGCACGGGGGTAGGAGGGGGTGACCCTGAGCTGGAGTCTGGCCCTGGCTGGCCTCCCCTGCCACCTCGCAGGGGGACAGGTACGGGTCGGGGCGTTATGGCGGGGGAGGGGAAGCTGAGGGAAGAGTGCTCCAGACCCCAGAGGGTTCTCCACAAAGGCCGAGGCTCGTGGGGCCCTGCGGGGCCTGGGAGAACTGGGCTGGAGGGACAACATTCCTAGACCGCAGGGAATACGCCGCCGGACCCTGTAGCCAATCAGCGGTCTCGGCCTTTTTGCCCTCGAGGGGGGCGGACCCGGGTAAAACCCTGCTGTGGTGGGTGAGGTGCAGAGATTAGGGGTCAAGAGTTGTTCGTCCTGCATCTCCAGCTTTTGACCACTGAGCCCCAACACCATGTCGGAGCTCGTAGGTGGGGGAGGGAATGGGGTCGCAAATCACCCATTTAGTTTGCTTCATTTGCAACCCGGAGGGGCAGGGATTTGAGGGTGGAATCCTGTCTTTTGAGGAGTTATTCTTGCATCCATACTTGAATTTAACCACAGGACCAGGGCACACCCCACTTGACTAGCCAGGTATAAGACCTCTTTTTATGAGTTTTGGATTATTAAGACAATTGAGTAGAGACTTAGCACAGGCTTTTCAATAAAGTTGTGTTCTCTAGGGAAAGAGTGGGGGTATTGAAAGGGTCAAAGTCATGAGCTGCTATCTTTCCTTCCTTTCCTTCGTTTATTTACTCAAGGGCTACTAAGTGTTTTCTTCGTGGCAAACACTCCTAGGTCCTGGGAATATAATGACTAATCTGATAGACATGATTCGTGTCTTCAGTGCATGTGCAAACTAATATGGTAGCCTAGGGTCTCATCTCCCTCCATAATTCAGATGCTGACCGCCTCTTCTCCTCCCAGGTCCAGCCTGTGGTGTCCACAATGCCCCAGGCCTCTGAGCACCGCCTGGGCAGGACCCGAGAACCACCTGTCAATGTCCAACCCCGAGTGGGATCTAAGCTACAATTTGCCCCACGGGCCCGCAGCAAGGAGCGCCGCAACCCAGCCCCTGGGCCAAACCCTATGTTAAGACCTTTGCCTCCTCGGCCAGGTCCCCCTGAGGAACGGCTCAAGAAACTGGAGCTTGGACGGGGACGGACCTCAGGCCCTCGTCCCAGAGGCCCCCTTCGGGCAGATCATGGGGTTCCCCTGCCTGGCTCACCACCCCCAACTGTGGCTCTGCCCATCCCATCCCGGACCAACCTAGCCCGTTCCAAGTCTGTGAGCAGTGGGGACTTACGTCCAATGGGGATTGCCTTGGGAGGGCACCGTGGCACTGGAGAGCTGGGGGCTGCACTAAGCCGCTTGGCACTCCGGCCTGAGCCACCCACTTTGAGACGTAGCACTTCTCTCCGCCGTCTTGGGGGCTTTCCTGGACCCCCGACCCTGCTGAGCATACGGACAGAGCCCCCCACTTCCCATGGCTCCTTCCACATGATATCTGCCCGGCCCTCTGAGCCTTTCTACTCTGATGACAAGATGGTGAGGAATTGCCAACACACGTGGCCTTCCAAGCTCCTATACCTTTATGCCTCCAGCTTTCTTGTCATCATGTGATTTTCCTGTCCCTTTTTTCCCTAAGTTCCTTATAGCAATGGATCCTCTCCTCTCCCTTACTTCTGGGCCCTTCTAAACCCTTTTCTGGGTTGTCTGTGAGTCCCCAGCATGGTGTGCCATTTTGGTCCCCAGGGAATTAACCCAACTATTTAGAATACTTCTTTGGGTCCCCAGGCTCTTCCTTTCCCTTACTGCATTTTCTCTCTTAGGACTCTGCCTAGGCCTAATTAATCTCTGGAGTTGAAGAGGGGTGGGTTCAGAACATCTGAGCTAATGTGGTTGCCCATTTCCCTAGCTAAGTGAGCTAGGCTGGTTGCAGTTGGTGCCTGCAAGAGAGGGTGCAGGAAAGGGCCACGGGGGCAGGAGGGGGCTTTGGAGGTAGCAAGGTGGGGGTGAGGAGCAGCTGGGCAACCATGCCAGTGCTTGGGGAGTTGCCCCAGGAGCTGCAGCGCCGTCTAGCTGGGCAGAGGAGTAAGTGGGGAATAGGTGGGACAGCCATGGCTGAGTCTGTGGTACACTCAGCTGTGATGGGCTTACTGCTCATGACCAGTGAGGTAGGGAGACAGGGAGAGGGTAGAGTTTGGGCACGTATAGGGTGGGGGAGGCAGCAGGCAGCATGCTATTAGAAGATTAAAGTGGATATATGGGAAACTGCTGACTGTACCTGACATTTCAGGCTCATCATACGCTGCTTCTGGGCTCTGGTCATGTTGGCCTCCGAAATCTGGGAAATACAGTAAGAGCCATTCTGTTCCTCCTTTCTAAAAGGAAATGTGAAATGATATTGGGGGTGGAGAGAACTTGGGGAATTGGGGAAGGCATGTAGAAAGAGAGCACTGAAGCTCTCCTGAGTTTCCGGGAGAGATAATGGCAGTATCTCTGCTGCTTCCCAGTGCTTCCTGAATGCTGTGCTACAGTGTTTGAGCAGCACTCGGCCTCTTCGAGACTTCTGTCTACGAAGGGACTTCCGGCAAGAGGTACCTGGAGGGGGCCGAGCCCAAGAGCTTACTGAAGGTAGGACAACTCCTCCTGTTTCCTCTATTTATTTTTCCCAAAACCCCTTGCAGGTCCATCTGCCAGTGCTCAAGGCCTCCAACCCATCAGTCTAACAGTTGTATCCATTTTTTCCACTGCCTACTTTCCTAGCAGTTGTTTTCTACCCTCCAGATGTCCTTTTGCCTGCGTCTTTCAGATATTAACCTTTGTTTCCCTTCCCCAATCTCACCCCAACAGCCTTTGCAGATGTGATTGGTGCCCTCTGGCACCCTGACTCCTGTGAAGCTGTGAATCCTACTCGATTCCGAGCCATCTTCCAGAAATATGTTCCCTCCTTCTCTGGATACAGGTGGGAGAGCTGGAGGGTATAGATTTCTCTCTGGTCATGTCTTGCGGGTAGTGCAATGCAGGGACCCCAGCAACATTGTTCTGAGCCTTGATGTTCTCCATCCAGGAAGTAGGAACCATGTCTGGGCAGGGGATAATGTCTGTGGACAAGGAAGGGGTCAGTTTCCCATATTATCTGTCTGGCTATAGCCAGCAGGATGCCCAGGAGTTCCTGAAACTCCTCATGGAGCGGCTGCATCTTGAAATCAACAGACGAGGTCGCCGGGCTCCACCAATCTTGGCCAATGGTCCAGCTCCCTCTCCACCTCGCCGAGGAGGGACTCTACTGGAAGAACCCGAGTTAAGGTAAGGGTTGCTTCTCCTCCCTTCTCTCCCCAATAGTTTATCAACAGTGTTCATCCTTCACAGAGTTGAGCTTGTTAAGATTAGAGATATAGGGCTGGGAATGTAACTCAGTGGTAGAGTGCTTGCCTAGCTCTCATGAGCCCTTGGGTTCAATCCCCTGTATCACCAAAAATAAATAAATAAACAAATAAATAAATATTAGAGCTGTAGGGTTCAGGGAAATGCTTTAGAATAGAAAATCATCTGAGAGGGGCTGGGATCATGGCTCAGTGGTGAAGTGCTTGCCTAGCATGCTTGGGGCACTGGGTTTGATCTTCAGCACCACATAAATGTAAAATAAAGATATTGTGTCCACTTAAAACTAAAAAATAAATATTTTTAAAAAAGAAAATCCTCTGAGAAGAAGTGTGGCAGTAGAAAAAGGAAGTAGGCTGAGGAGTGCAGAAAGAGATAGAAGATAGTGCTAGGGAATCACAGAATCAAGAGAGGAGGGGATAATTATAACAAAGTACATAAAAAGGGCTTGAAGCCAGATGGAGGAAGACAGCATGTTCTTCCCTGGTATGTGTTCCAGTCTTTTCTTTCACCTTGGATTTCCCCAGAAATTTTCCTGAATTACTCCTTTGACTTTAACTAGATAAATTTGGAGGCAGAGTTGGGGTGTGGATGAACTACAGGGCTCTGTGGATCATTTTAGTGTGTTGGGGGTACCTTGTTTCCTGCTGTCTCATGAGTGCTCCCTACTTCTCTGATCTATGTGGTAGTGATGATGATCGAGCCAACTTAATGTGGAAGCGTTACCTGGAGCGAGAGGACAGCAAGATTGTGGGTATGAAATGTGGCAAAGCAATGGGGAAAAACTAGTTTGGGGCTTGGGCTTGGGGGAAAAATTGATTCTGTCAAGGGGTACAGGAACAAAACTGGATGATGAAGATGTGAAATGGTATGAAGAGTTTGTTAGGAGTATTGATAGTGAGAAAAGGAGAGTCATGC